GTCCAAATAGAGAAGGAGGAATTTTTTGATTTAATACAGGATGTTCAAAGTTCATTGTTGAAGACAGCTTCCTTCTTCATCACTTGCACACATGCACTAATAATCAGGCTTTTGGATAATAATTCAATGTTGGTGTTTTAGAATTAATTTACTATATTAATAATTTTGGATAAAAGTGTTATTGCAACTATGGACTTAATTACAGGTTACAGGTTTTTATTAACATTAATATTTGTTGAATATATACAATATATTTTAAAATGTGATGATGGTTTCTGAGGGGTGATTAAAGGATAATATAATTGAAATTTACTATAAATTTTCTGATAATTTATTTAAATAGGCTATATGGCAAATTTTGGTACAATCAAAGGAGTAAAATTATATAACTAAAAGAATGAATGTAGTGAATAGGCTATATATGACAAGTAACATTGCATTGTAGAGTTCAAAATTCCTACAGTATTCAATCTATACATCTTTCAAGTTCTGGTTTATGCTAAAACTAACTTTAATAAATATGTTTCGTACTCGGCAATATATTCATAATCATTATACCAGGGTTTGGGCGAAATTGGATATAGTACCACATAGGCTTACCAAAACTAAAACTTTTAACTAAATTGCATTTAATTTTTCAATAAGCTGCCTGAGAATGCAAGAGAGGTAGTTTAAACAGGTTTAAATCCGTGTTGTACACCTGGCTGGTAGAAAATCCCTTTTATAAACTTGAGGAGTTTTTCAAAACACAAGTTTGTATTTCTTTTTAGTACATTAACGTCTTGTTTTATTTTTATTTGTTATATGTTACATTTGTATAACAAATTGACTTGTCCTATTTCTGTACAAACAGATCAATGGAAATAAAATATTCTTATTCTTATTCTTACCAACCATTTCAAAAATATATGAGAAAGCAGTTTACATACAACTGGCGAATTATCTGGAAACGTATTCATTAAATTACAATAATCAGCATGGCTTCAGATCAGGAAGATCATTTACAACTGCAGCAATCAATTTTATTGAATCTGTAATAAACTCTATTTACAAAGGTGAAACAACAGTTTGCATATTTTTAGACTTAAGTAAGACTTTCGACAATGTGTCACATACAATTCTTTGAGATAAAATCAGAAGTCTGGGCATTGATGGCATTTCGTTTGAATGGTTTAGATCATACATGTCTAATAGATATCAATACGTCGAAATTAAATCAGCTCTTGTCTGGTAAAAATTCATTAGAGTACAGAAGTACGTAATAAAAATCACATTTTATTAAGCATGCGGCAAACAGCTGTTTTCCGAAATAAATCCAAACGTGGAAGGTCAATTAAAACAGTGTTGTGTGGCAAAATGTATTTTACGTTGTGAAAAAATGAGGTTGGCATTGGCAACTATAACCCTTTATAGTTGCCTTAATTGCGGAGGACAGTGACTATATTTCCGTTACTGATAGATATATTCTGGATTTCGCTGCGATCATGAGGGACAATGATGATGTCTCAGACAGTGACGCAACCGGCCACGAACATAGCCAATTGAATGTTTGGAGGGAAGGGGGTAGATTTAGGGGAACTTTTACTTTTGGAATATGGATAACTGTTAGCACAACCGTAACAGAACTAAAGGCACAAACCTCTCAGTAAAAAGTTAAAGTTTAAAAAATAAGAAATTACCCCGCATCCAGTTGTTTGGGAATGTTGCTGGAAGTCAACAGTCCCGGAAGATCAAATAATTTATACCTGTGCCGCTAGGTCAAAAACTACAATGTTTGCAGTGCCTGTAGATCAAAAGTCCCAGTAAGTCAAATAATACAGTCCGAGCTAAAAACGTGGTCTATGTTAAAGCAATTGACTTATTGGGAATTTGACCTAATGCAACAGCAGTTTTAATATAACGAAATACGGTAAAATACAAGTTCAGTTTCGCTGAGTCAACAGGGCCGGAAGATCAAAAGCAATAAAAGTGAACGTCGATTTAGTGTAAAGTAGACCTCCTGCAACGCTTACTACACCAACAAAACTCGCTTTTAGTTACTTCGTGTTTTGTCATAATTAGAATAGAGCTAAAATTATCATATTTGGTACATAACTTATCTATTAATGCTTCTTGCCAACTGTTTGGTCAACACTGTAAATAGGTATAGTTTATGTAATGAAAAGCCTTTCGTCAAAATTTGTGGCATAAAATACACGCAAGGACGATCTGAAAATTCCTGGTTATTATATACGTTTGTAAAAGGAGATCCATTAATTGTAGAACTATTTTATGAGTTATAATGTAGTCTACATATAAACTGTGTAAATGTATTACGCCTCGGAAGGGTTGAAACCTGTCCAAGCTATCATATATTATTATTAAAACGTAAATGGGGGTTTTTCACGATTCTGAATCAACCAGACGATGGATTTTCTTTAGTTTTGTGTTGAAAGAAAGACAATTTTGAGAACTAGGGAATTTCAAAGCCATAATTTAAAATTAGTGTCCCAGTTTTTATAAATTAAGTTTTAGTTTTTAAAAAGTCTAGCAGACTTATGGTTGGCTTATTTATATTATGTGTAATGCTGACCATTGATACATTTAATTCTTCGGTACGAGGATGGCAGATTAATTAAATATTTATAGTAAAATACAGTAGTAGGATGTTCAAATTATTTTTTAAAGTATTCTTTGTAATCATCGATTTGTTTTAGTCCAATATAATTTGTTTTAACTAACAGCTGGTTGAATGTGCTATGTATACTTATAAAAGGCAAAGCCCTCACTGACACACTCACTCTCACTCACTCATCATCACTAATTCTCCCACTTCCCATTTACCTAGGAGGCTGAAATTCGATACACCGATTCTTTGGGCATTAAATAGGAAAACTAAGTAATTTTTATTATGATAGGGCATTCGAGCTTCGCCCCAGTGGCTCTGGAGTTTCCCATGTTAACCTTATGATTTTTCATATTTAAAAGGAATTAATGAATCTTAACAGCTGTGTCAATTAAACAATTTATGGCAACAGCTAATTTGCAACCAAAAGCTGAGTGAGCGTTTCGAACGAACTTCAACCTGGACGTGATTGAGCCATGCGAACAAGCTCACTTGTGAAGTTAAACGGGGCGAAGCCCGCGGGTACAGCTAGTCTATGCTAAAACTATTGCCTTGGATGTAGTACGCCAGTGTCACGGTGATAACGGCGGGAGTGGTCGTGGTAGGCACGGATGAGTCGTTGTTCTTGCAAGGCTGTTTTTTGCCTGGCTTCTGGCTCAGTCAGCACTTACACCATCGGGAAGAGATAGTACATCCAAACTAACGAAAATAGTTTCTAAGGACCCATATTAGATTTAATACAATTGGCGGCAAACGTTATTGTTGATTAGTATGTTAAATAACAATAAAACTGTTGTAGGAGTTCGTTCCTAACCGTAGGTGCTCTGTATAATATTTAAATCGCTGATATTATACCCCAAAAATCAACGTTTACAATCGTGATACGTAAACAAATGATCCAATAATATGTAAGCCGAAGGATCGTCGTAAATTAATGTCTTTCGTGTAATACAATAATATGTTAATCAACAATGTTACTATATCACTAATAACGTGTAAGTAGACCGTCGTAATTAGGCTCAAATTAAAATATAATAATGCAATGTCAGTATTAAACAATGTTAATACTTGTGCGTAACAATATTGCTGTACTACAGAGAAACAAGGGTTTTCGAGTCGCTGTTGAATAATAGGACAACAAGAAATATAATAATAATACGTTAATCAATACTATTACTATAAAACTGTTTCAATCCCAAATATTTTACGGGCAAGCATATTATGCAGAAATAAAGCCTATATGAACGAGGAAACTCAAATAGTAAACCGCACGAATACCGTTATCAAACAGCTGATCTCTTGCCCATTCATCCAGAGTGCAATTTTTTTCATAGTTAAGTGAAAACTATGAAACTATCTGTATATTCATCTTTTTCTTGTCCTTAGAACTGTAAATTAAAAGTCCACTCAGCAGTCGCATCGTACGATGTAGTTCTTTCCATGCGTTGCGAAATGCTAAATTTGCCGTCCTCTTCAACCCAAGTTATCTATTGAACCACTGATTGTAAAAAATTCAAAAAAATATATTTTACGCATCACACTTTTGGCTACAACTTTGTCACAGACAAAACCTCTCTAACCCAAAAACAAAAAAATCTCGCATGCTAACTTTTTCATGTTAGAAATCACGATTTAAAACTATTTCACCATACAAATCAATTTTTATTAATTAGATCGGTAAATAGTTTAAAGTTCCAACAAAATAGTCATCGAGTAGGACTAATCAAGAAGCTCTGTGCCAAATTTCAAAATTTTAGCACAACTTGAAGTACACCAAAACACGAAATTATTGAAGTCATGCGTCGAGAGGATTATCGTTGTTTTTAACAGATTATACTTTTGACCTTCCGGCACTGTTGACTCAGCGAAACTGAACTTATATTTTGTCTTATTTCGTTATATTAAAACTGCTGTTGCACTAGGTCTAATTCCCAATAAGTCAATTGCTTTAACATAGACTACGTTTTTAGCCCAGACTGTACTATTTGACTTACTGGGATTTTTGATCTACAGACACTGCAAACATTGTAGTTTTTGACCTAGCGGCACAGGTATAAGTTATTTGACCTTCCGGGACTGTTGACTTTCTGCAACGCGTCCTCCAGTTGTTTCACCTGTTTTAGTTTACATTATTGTAATATGCTGTTTTATTTCTTAATGTTGTGTTGTATGATATTTAAGCTAGTGTGAAATCAACTGATATTTTTATCGGTTTGTATACAACTATCTCGTCTAAATCTTGACTTTCTCTTCACCAATAGCTTAAAACATTAAATGGCTTCCATATGTCAATATTTATTTGCTTTATAGTGTTTTTTATATAAAAAAACATTGATCAATCTAAAACATTAAGAAAATTATTGATTTAAAATAATAAAATATATTGTTATTACAGTGCCCAATGTCAGCTTTGAGGTTTATGCACCAGGATTCCTGGAGAGATTCATAGAGTCACATGCTGTGATGCTGCAGGGGAATGCTGGCTTGAAACCCAAGGAGGGTGAAGTGACATCCAGACCTTGGCAGTGGCCTATAGACTACAGAGTCAGTATCCAGTACCACCTCTAATCACTGTCATGTAGTCATGTGTATGCATGTAGTCATTGACCTACAATAATTAATTACTTTCAATTTACTAAGCAGTCAGTCAAGAGTAGTTTAAACAGAGCTGATTTACCGAATAGGCACAGTAGGCACGTGCCTAGGGCGCGAGGCAATTGGCTTTTTTGGGGGGCGCCAAAAATTGGAAAATAAAATAATGGTGGTTGTATTTGCATGCGATTGTGGTAAACTTCTGATAATCTCTCGCGGCCGTGTGGACATCGTAATTGTCTCCCGGGGTCGTGAAGACATGGTAATCGTCTCCCACGATTGTGGCAAAATGTTAAATCCGTAGTCGTGTGGAGATCATCATCGTCTTCCGCGATCGCGGCACAATTCTTGCTGTTTCCCGCGGTCATGTGGACATTAGCATTGTCTTCCGTGATCACGGAATCGTCACTGTTGTCATGCGCAATTGCGGTAAATTGATAATTCCTGATTTAAATACAAAATTCGTACATAATTCCCGGTTCAAAAAAACTCATGCATAGTTCCCGGATTTTCCAGTTGGTGGACCCCTGTTATATATATTAGAAAGGGGCGCTACCATTATTTGTGCCTAGGGCACTGACAGGTTCAAAAACGGGCCTGAGTTTAAAAGGATCAGGTATCAAAGGAATGTAAAATATAAATACATTTGTAGTAGGTTTATGTTCCATTATATCCCTTGCTCTTTTTTTTATTTTAGTTCATATGTGAATTAAAACATCATCAACCCTGCCAAAAAACCTTAAAATATAATAAGAGACAGGGACACAATCAATTTGCAGGTAATAACACAAAACACAGAAGGCAAGCAGCCAACAAGAGCTTACAACTACACTACACAGTCTTCAGGAAGGAGTGTCTTATTCACCATAATCCCATCATTACAATTCTTATTACATGGAATAATAGTTAGTTCAGACATAACCTTTTTGGTTACAATACATTTAATAACACGCTATAAGTTTATGACTGGAACGGTATTATTGTAGAAATTGTACAGTATTAGAAATTGATATTATAGACTAAATAAGTAGATTTTGAGGTTTGGTATTTTCAACTATGACAATATTGCAATAAAATTAGTTATTGCATAAATCTTTGTAATAGCAATTAATAGTGAAAATAACCTACTTCACCTACAGGTCCTGATGTTTTTAACATATGTTTTTCATATTTCAGGGTCAATTTTTCTCAGGCAGCTCTTACCGCATATACTTGCTTGGTAATCCTGTAATATGGTGGTGCAATATTGTATTTCTGGTCATCTTCCTCCTAGTTTTTCTATGCAATGCTGTAAAACACCAGCGAGGATACCCTAGCCCTCCCCATATTGCAAGTAAGTTAAACAAAATTGCACAAACTAACGAAAATTTGAAATTTTAGATTCAATACTGGCCCTTGGAAAATCCATTTAGATAAACTTGTTATATTAACCCTTCCCAGACGGCCTATAATATGTACCTATATAGACATCAAAATTAATAAAAAATAAAAAAAATAGTTGAACTATGCCGCACTTTTGTTCAAATTTTTTTTATTTATTTTTTTATTTTTCTAGAAAAATATACCTAGTACATTAGTTAAAGATATATAATTGAATAAAAGACCGTTTTTAGCGAATTTCCCCATAGGGAAGTAGCTATTACCGTAGGAGGCACGGTAAGACTTAGGCCCGGGACCAATTTACTTTTTCATTTTGATGTCCCCAGAGGGATTACTTGAGTAATTTTTGTCCGATTTTGATGAAATTTAGTTTAAAGGTGTAAGAAGGGATCAACTTAAATGAGTTTGCGAACCAGCATGATCAGACCATGGGAACGGAGTTTTACGGGAGGTTTCATGGGGTAAAAAATGGTTTTCCTCATTTTTGACCCTCAAAACACAAAATTTCCCAATTTCTCTCTAGACCATTTTAAAGAGCTTAAAAAAAAAATAATTTAGTATATTAAAGTGTTTTTGTATAGTTATTGGTAACGTAGAAAATTAAAAAAAATTTTAATTTAAAATTCCTATGTTATTCTTATGGAGAATATTGTAAACTGTTGTATTTTGCTTGTTTATGGATATATTATTATCAAACTTGGCAAATTTATTTATTTTATACTAAGCTATTAATATTTTACTAAAAAATACACTTTATTAATTTCCTTGTAGCAGCAAACCTAGGTACTCATTAAACCTAATGTTATTAAAAATAAATTTAATTGAAAATAAATTCAGACAAATGGAAATTCGCTTAGTCGGCAGGTTTGCTACGGCGGGGGTATTATAAAGATTAGTGTTGTTTTATATAATCAACTATAACAATATATGTCGTAATCATCCGTAATACCGTCCGCTATGCACAAAATGACCAATAATCTATCTATATATAAAGTCCAAAGTACCCATGAACTTTTGAGAAAACTACAAGTCGCAACCCCATAAACCATATACTTAAAATGTTCGTCATGACGAGAAACCTTATTCCATAAATTGCCCTTTAAGGTCCTAATTCCTTTCTAAAGGGAACTTTCCATATACCTTATATGTTAAAAATACCTCAGCTGTACTTATTTATTTATTTATTTATTTCCAACGGACATCTCCATTTTAACTTATCTTCCATTTTGCACTTATTTGTATGTTGTTCTTTCAATTTATTTGTGATTATTTGTTTGTATTACTGTATTCTGTTTTGTTTATTTCAGCTTAACTTAACATCAATAGTTTTAGTAACACTTATCACTTATGAAGTCAAATGGGGAGAAGCCCGTGGGTAACAGCTAGTAATAATAATATTAATAAACTTGACCCAGGTGTGCTTGTTTTAAGGATTAATAGCTTTTGATGATAATCAGAGGTTCCCATCCCCCCCCCCCCCCACCAATACAGAGGAGCTGGTTCCCCCATTTTATGTTGTCCTCTAATTAAATCTCCCCCCCTGCCAATTTACTTGGTAATTTCCTCTTACCGCATAAAAACATGTTCTCACTGTTCTCAGTATTGCAATAGACACAAAAAAAAAAAAAAAACTTTCAACAACATACTCTGTGAATTACTCTACTCCAACACATTGCCATGCAATATATTAGGTGGTGTAAATGTTTACAGGGCTTAGGAATTCAAACAAAATCTTAAATTTGTAAGTGCATGAATCTTGCACAAGTAGTGGCAAAAAGTATCTTGTTTCAAAATTAGGCAGAGTCAAGAAATAGGGCAGACTAGGAGGGGTTGCTCGTCACTACTAAATTCACCGGGCAAAATACCCACAATACCTTAATTACCACCAGCACAAAAGGTTTTGGTGACAAAGTAATCTTATAATTCATTTTGATAGCCCGAGGATTGTGTTTTATGACTAATAATGGTAGAAACACAATCCTTAATATGTACGGTAGTGTCGAATTTTACTTGCTGTATATGTTTTGGGCGTTCTTTAACTCCACCATTGTCAGGCTTACAAAAGGAAAAGGATCAACTTCTGGAGGTGTCAACGGAATAAGTTACTAACATTTAACACAAAACACGTAACGATTACGGATAGGCCCATCAATTCACGCGTGTTCACAATACCGCGGGCAGGACTGGAAGGAAACTGAATCAGGTTATGACGGACCGACTTGGTCTCTGGATTGTCGTCTGTGTTATCAATAGCTGATATTGGACTAATTGTAGTGTCGGAGGAGAGTGTTGAAAATATAATGGGATTCATAATTGAGTGTTCCGTTCAAAATTATTGGAAATTATAACCATGATATGCTGGATATAAATTTTGGTCTCGACATTCTACATTACTGGGAAAGGAAATTTATTAAATACTTTGGAAGAGTTTGAAATAGATTCTTCTAATATTTTAAGTGAGAAATGTTGGATGTATGGATAGATGTTTGTGACAAGTAAACACGAAAAATACAAACCGACAGGATTGAAATTTTGTTATGATGATAGCTCACATTCCCGATTAACATATGGACATATTCTTATCTCAAAAATCCTTTCGGACTCCGCTCCAGTGGCTCTGGAGTTTCCCATGTTAACCTTATGAGTATTCATATTTAAAAGGATTTAAAGAGTTTTGTCAGCTGTTTCAACTGCACAAGTTGGTTCTATGATATTAAATAGCATTAAAAAGTTATAAGGTTTACCAACAGGGTGCAGCACTATTATTTTCTTGCATTTATGACAACAGCACTGTGGTACACAATGAGAACTTGACTTTTAGCGAATTTCTCTTATATGGGAATAAGCTATTACCGTAGGTCTCAGGTAAGACCTGGACCCGGGACCGATTTACTTTTTGGTTTTGAGATCCCCAGAGACCAAAAACACCATCAGTTAAAATTCATATTTATCTAATATATAAAATTCTCGTGTCACAGTGTTTGTCTGCAAACTCCTCCGGAACGACTTCACCGATCGTTATGAAATTTGGTGTGTAAATTCTGTAGGTATGCGAATCGGACCTAAACTATTTCCCGTTTCGAAATTCTTAAAAGGGCTCCGCCCCAGTGGCTCTGGAGTTTCCCATGTTAACCTTATGAGAAATGGAATTAATGAATCTTAACAGCTGTTTCAATTAAACAAGTTGGTTCTGTTCTATGATGTTCAATAGCATTAAAGTTACAAGGATTACCAACAGGGTGCAGCACTATTATTTCTTTTACATTTATGACAACAGCTAATTTGCAACCAAAAGGTGAGTGAGCGTAGCGAACGAACTTCAACCTGGAGGCGAGTTAGCGTAGCGAACGAGCTCCAACCTAAAGGCAAGTGAGCGCAGCGAACGAGCTCCAACCCAAAGGTGAGTGAGCGTAGCGAACGAACTTCAACCAGGACGTGATTGAGCGATGCGAACGAGATCATCTTGAAAATTAAACGTAACGGTACTTTCTTTCCATCGGTCTGTCTTAGGGGAAACCTATAACTTAGGTGATACGAAGTTCGCCGGGTCAGCTAGTTTATATATATATGTGTGTGTCCGTTAGCACGATAACCCGGGCAAAAATGATCTGATTTTGATAAAATTTGGTATACACGTGTAAACTTACGTTAATTCAAACGAATTCGCGAACCAGCAAGATCGGACCATGGGAACGGGGTTTTATGGGGTAAAAATGGGTTTTCCCATTTTTTACTTCCCTAAAAAAAATTTTGAAATTTCTTTCTAAATTATTTTGTAGATTTTAAAAAAGAAATAAGGCCTAATTTAGTATTTTGATGCGCTGTTGTATGTCTAACGGTTACAGAGAAAATTAAAAATACCCCCGCCGCAGCAAACCTGCCGTCTAAGCGAATTTCCATTTGGCTGAATTGATTTTCAATCAATCTATTTAAATAACATTAGGTTTAACGAGTACCTAGGTTTGCTGCTACAAGGAAACTAATAAAGTGTGTATTTTAAGTAAAATAATTATTGCTTAGTAGAAAATGAATACATTTGCCAAGTTTGATCAAAAGATATCCATAAACAAGCAAACTACAACATTTTAAAATATTCTCCATAAGAATAACATGGGAATTTTAAATTTACAATTTTTTTAGTTTTCTCCGTAACCAATAACCGTACAAAAACACTTTGATATACTGAATTGTTTGTTTTTTTAAGCTCTTTAAGAAGGTTTAGAGAAAAATCGGGAAATTTTGTGTTTTGAGGGTCAAAAGTGAGAAAAACCAATTTTTACCCCATAAAAACCCCCATAAAACCCTGTTCCCATGGTCCGATCATGCTGGATCGCGAACTCATTCAAGTTTATCCCGCCTTACACCTTCAAACCAAATTTCATCAAAATCGGATAAAAATTACTCAAGTTATCGTGTTCACGGACACATATATATATAAATCTATATATATATATATATATCTATATATATATATACATATATAAAAATTTGAACGAATGGTGTTTTTGGCCTCTGGGGACATCAAAATGAAAAAGTAAATCGGTCCCGGGCCTAAGTCTTACCATGAGACCTACGGTAATAGCTACTTCCCTATAGGGAAATTCGCTAAAAGTGCAAATTTAAAATTCCCATTTTACTTTTATAGAGAAAATGCAAGATGAATTATTATTTTACAAATTACTCGAGCCTTTGCTCTCTGTTCTTAATAATTAGAACAGTACGATTCAGCATTAAACGACAAGCTCAACAAACCCCAAAAGGATTCAGAACTAGGTACGGGGGCCTAATATGATTATTTATAAATATAACATAATGGATGGCATACAATATTTGCATTCAAACTATTTAAAAAAGGCAAACAGAGTGTCTGTATGTTGTAAAATAGTATTTGGAGTATGATTCAAGACATCCTTCTAACATAGTAACATAATCATAAATCAATAACTTAGGCCC